GTAGACTTGAACAAAGTTGTCTCTTATTATCCTTCAGTTTCATCTTTTTCTATGGTTACTTCTTGATTCTCCTTCTGTATTTTATATATTTGTATTTGTCCCCATTCTTTTGATTATCTACTGGCTTCTTTATTGTTTACTTTCAGCTTCCAGATTTATTTATTCTGTTTTCTGTGTTCTAACTCATTAATCTCTACTTGCATCTTCATCCATTTCTTTTTTTCTTTTTTTATTCTTTTGGTTTGTTTTAAGGTCTTATTCCAACTATTCCAATTATTGAGCATTGCTTTATCTCTCTCCTATGGTTTCTTGAGGTGTACAGCTATTCTTTAGAAATTTTGCAATTTTGTTTTTTAAGTCCTTTTGGCCCAAGAGTTGTTCAAGAGAGCTTATGTTTTTAAATCTCCAAACAAGTATCTTCTAGCTTTCTGAATTTTTAAAACTAATTTCTCACTTTACTTTCTCATGATTAGAAAATGTGTCTGTACTATTTCTACTTTTTAGGATTAATTGAAATTTTCTTTGTGGCCTAATATATAATCTATTTTCATGATAAAATGTTTGATATAAATTAATAAATTTTGCCTTTTTTAATTTTACTATTTAGTTTTCTATGTATCTAGTTATTTTTTTTCACTCAGTCTTTCATAAATCAAAAAAAGTGAATTAGAATATCCTATTACCAGTCTGTTGTATATTTTTCCTTGAATGTTCCATAACTTCTGCTTTATATATGTTGCTGTCATATAACTGATATATATATATATAACCATTATTTATATATAACTGCTCATATCTTTATTGAGAATTGTACTTATTATAGTTTAAATATTGCATTCTTATTTAATTCAGTGCATCTTGCCTAATATACCTATGCTTGGAGTTTAATTTTCAATTTTTAAATCTCATTTTGTCTTAGGTGTGTTTTTACATGAAGTATAGAGTTATGATTTATACTTTTGTTCCAATTGGCAATTTTTTTCTTTATGGATGAATTAAGTCCATTTATACTTATTGATATAAAAGATTCATTTTCTCTTTCTTCTTACTGTTTTATGTTATTAAAGAAATACATTTTTGTTTTTATGATTTTTAGAGAAAGTCTTTGGCTAAGGAATTTGTTTTTATTTTTATGTACTTGTGATACTTAGAAAAGCTTTTACTTTTGTTCTAGCAGTTACTTTTATTTAGTATTCTTAGACTTTTATTTTTTTGACAATTTTGTTTCCTAATAGAAACAGAGATAAAATTAGTGTGCATAATCTTTTGCACTCTTCATCTACACCCAATTATATTCAATGTTGTGATCTTACTGTTTCTCTAACACTAATATTGCATAAGTTAAGATTTTTTTATTGCCTGATTTGTTAGATTTTAGTGATATCTTTGATACCCAGCTATTAGAAATGAAGTAATTAGAGAAACTCTTGTCTCATCTTCTTTTCATCTTTTCTTGCCCACATCAGCCACAAGTAAAAGTCTAAAATAATTTTCTAATTGGAAACATGACATTGTATGACATAATATAGTAAAATGCATAATTTTAAAGCTTTCAACTTTCAGAAACAACTTAATATAAGTATTTATTTCTAAGTAGTCCTAGCCCTCCCCTTCTGTCCTTCCATATCATTAAAATTTACATTGAAAACCTGGTACCATACTTCAATCTATAGATAATTGATCTGGGCTCTGCTTGAACAAGTAGCTCTAACATAACCAGAGAGACCCTGTCATGGAGACTGTGGCTTCAGGTTCCCTTTTAAATTAGCATCTCCAGTTGGAGGTAGTGATGTGAGGTAATGATTAAAAACTCCTGTTTGTAACCATTTGTAATTATCAATGACATCTAAACATGCTCATTAATTCAGCCTCTTAACCCTGACAACTGTTGTCTTTTGTCATTTTCTACTCCATTACCTATGTTATTGTCTCTATACCTTGACAAAAATCTATCTTCTGCATGTCAGTGTTGTGTACTGGTGGAGGATAGATAATTTTATATTTTTGTGGAGGTACGATTTAACATGGGACCTATATTAATTTGGAGGGAGTATAGAAGATCATGTCAGTAGAGAGTTAAAGAATATACAAGATAAAATCCAGCAACTTTCTGGGTAGTGCTTTGGTTGAATGTGGTTGAGTCCATAATATTTAATGTGATAACATGTAGAAGATTTTTTTCCAGGTGATACTTCAAGAAATTTCTAGTGGCGGGGAGGCAGTGAATTCCTTGTGCCAGGGCACCACCACAGGAAGTGGTAATTGTGAGGGTAGTAGCATGATTACGGACATGGATTATGTCTTCATGGATTTCTAGTCTACAAAGAAACACACAAGCCATAAACATCATTGCAATAATTTTGAAGAAAAAGCATTTTAAGAGTATATAGCAAAGACAAATAAGATGAGATCTGAAGGATGCAGACAAAACAAAACAAAACGAAACAAAATGGAGAAGGTAGAATAGGGTCAAGTGGTCCAGGCAGAGAAAGGTGCATCTGTTAGACACCGAGGGGCTTGTCTTAGTTGAAGAACTGGAAAAACACAAGAATCAAGAGAGAGAAGGGCCTGATATTAAGGCTGGAAAGGGAAATTGGGGGATGTCAGATTCTGCTGGGATGCCGTCATGAAGATTTTGGTCTTTATCCTAAGGGCAGGGGTAGCTACATAATTTCTGAGGCTCAGTGATATGAAAATGCAAAATGAAAATGTGGGGTTCCTTTTACAAAAATTATTAAGAATTTCAAGACAGTGACAGCTGAGTATTAAACCAAATGCAGGACTTTTCTAAGCACTATGCCTAGTGTGACTGTACCGGTCATAAGCCCATGACATTGGCCCTACCTAAGGGCAGTGAGAAGCCAAGGAAAAGTGCGAAGTACAGAAGAGTGATGATTGGATTGGCACTTTAAAAAGACAAATTCTTATATTGTTCTACCAAGGCATGTTTAGTTGGTGAGTAAAGGCAAAGGAATATTAATATCTCTCAGATCCAGGATTACAAATTATTACTAATATGATCCTTACAAGTCATGTGCTTAGATACATAGTTATCCAGAATCTACTCAAACTTCTTAGTAGAAGTAGTAAATATGGTAAAGTCTTGAGATTTTTGCTTAAGGTCATCCACTGTCAACCAACATTTTAATACACTTAAATAATTTTGTCCTCTAATCATTTAGCAACATAAGCAGAAAATTTCAACTAATTAACAAGAACAGTGCTTAAAATAAATGTTGTTCTTTTTTGTTTATGAACATGACAAAAGTATGAAGAATTTGGAGGTATGGAAAAGAAAATAATTTAAAGAATACAAGGAGGACCAACTTTCTGCTAATCCTTGTTTGTTGTAATTATTTGCATATTCTGCTTAGAAGATGTGTTTTATTGTTTTAAAACAATAGGCTATATTTCATATGCAACCAAATATTGAGAATCAAGTCTTTTGTCCATCATCATTCTGCCAAAACAAGTCTTGAATATTGAATGATGTAGTAAGAAATAAGTGAATGAGAAAAAAATTCATTTTATTTTTTACAATAATAATCTTAACTTTTTGTGTTCTTACAAATTTCAAACACCTTACAGAGAAATAATAACTATCAGCAAAACTAAAAAATTGACAATGATCCACAGTTTAATTTTTTGATACATAGAGAATCAATTTTCTTTAAGGACATTGATGACAGAACAGAGGTCAACCTTTACTTTTTAAAATGTCTGACAACTTTAGAAATCAGCAACATTATGTTTTTTTTATCTGGTTAATTCAAGTTTATAAATATTATGGTAAAAAAAATCCCCAGCTAACAGTATTTTTAAAAAGAAGGTATCTGTTAGATATTTGTGTACTATGACAATAAAAAGGAAATTTTTTTTGTGGATATCATTCTTCTTTAGATACAGGCTATCAATTGTAAGAAATGACCTTATTTACTTATGTTTATGGTTTAGCTATATAAGCAAAGCGTCTTAGAGAGTGATGCCAAATGAGTAAAATATAGGGGTATGAGAGAAGTACAATCCTCATATGTTAATTTGGAGCTGTGAGTACAGAGCAATGCATAGTGGGGAAGTGAGTTCTCAGTTTAAAGTTACTTCAGTTTAACAGAAGAAGCAGGCACACACACACATAAATATACAACTTAAGCAATTACACTATTCAACTTGGTCTGGTTGTATAGAATTATGTACCTAAGGGTAGGTGACTACAGTGTCAGATACAAGCAGAAGTGATAAGCAGATGGGCCTAATCTTAAACGCAGAGAATCAGAAGGAGATATGGATAAAATAAAGACTGGGAATTGCAAAGGAAAGTGGGGTGAGGTCTAGGAAATTACAGGCTTGCAAATCTTGTGTGAGATAAAAACCGGTCTCAGTATTGGATAGCTATTGGCAATGGAATTTTATTATGAATGCTTAAATTTGATGGGACATTCAAAGAGAGTTCCTGCCAATCTAGGAGAAATGTTAGAAAAGTTAATTAGAATTAACACACATTTGGCAGAGAATAGGGTGGATAATTGTGCTGGGCTAGTTTTGGGATCCAGGTAATAAAAAGACTTCATGAGGGAGGTAGAGTAATTACTGAGCTTTAAAAGATAAGAGTGAAACTGCGAGATAATTCATAATCATTGTTATTGCCTAATATTTATTTTTGTTGCTTCCTAAGCTGTTGAGTAAACTGGAAGACCTACCTGCAGGGGGAAAACAGGAACTCTGTCTCTGAAATGCAATTCCACCTCAATGCACAATTAATAGAAATGAGTTAATAGTGTGACATCATGTAGTTATTATAATTGGACAAACATACATCAGTTTAATTTAACTTGAACATTTTCTAAGAGGTTAAAAAGCTTTGGAAATAGAAAAGACCCTTAAAGTTTATTCTTTAAAAAGATTTTAATTTGAAAGTTGAAAAAAATATAGTTGTGATATTTTTTGCACAGTTATGTTGAAACTCAAAAATTGTACATAATAATACTGATGAAATTACTTGCCTAGGTCCATGAGCGATGATTCTTCAATTGTTTGTTGAACTGGCTCAGAGAGGAAAAAACTAACCACAGAACCACTCTGAAAAATGAGACAAAGTATAATATTTCTTCATATCTTATATTTACTTATTACTCCTATTCACAGGTGGGACCCCTGTGATGGGGTGGATGGACCCCTAATCCAATATGACTGGTATCTTTATAAAAAGGGGAAATTTAGATACAGACATTTATATAGGAAAGATAATGTGAAGAGACACAAGCAGAAGATTGTCTTTTATAATTCAAGGAGAGAGGCCTGGAATAAATTTTTCTGTCGCAGCTATCAGAAGGAAACAACCTTGTGGACACCTTGATTTCAGACTTTCAGATTCCAAAAATGGGAGACACTGTATTTCTGTTGTTTAAATCGCCCAGTGTGGGGTACTTTGTTATGGAAGCCCAAGCTAACTAACACAGCACCCAATGGTGATCCCTTCATCTATGACCTAGATTCTATTCCTTCCTCCTCAGGAACCTCGTGGAATATCTCAATCTATACTTTAGTACCTTTACCTTCTTCCTTTCTTTCTCACCAGTGTAAAGAAGTCTCTCCATTAATAACTAGCAAACAGAAGAGTCAACCCACATAAAATATACTCACACATGAATAATAGCTTGTCACTAATGTCCCTTTCAGATCCTGTGTTATTTTCCCCCTCCTTGACAAAACTTACGGAAAGAGTTGCCAACATTCATACTGGTTCCACTTCTTCAATTTCAACTCACTTTATGATCTACAACACTCAGGTTTCTGCCACTAATTGTCCTCCAAAAATGTTCTTACCATCATTTTCAACAACTTTTTCTTTTCAAATGTCTTTTTTCCCCCAAATCCAAGGGGTTTTCTTGGCTTTATTTTTTTAAAGATTTTTATTTATTTATTTGAGAGAGAGTGAGAGAGATCACAGAAAGAGATGGAGACAACATCTATGTAGCAGTTTTACGCATCATAAATTTGTTAATTACTAATTTTGATCTCTATGTATTGATCTCTTGTGAGCTTGCTTAGTAAGAATCTATCCTCAAGAAATGTATCCATATTCAGGATGCTGACCAAACCAAGTTTACTTATTTTGAAAGCTTGAAGTCAAACTTCAGACTGTGCAGAATTTGTTGAAGAAAATTTGACCTTCTTTGGCCTTTTGACAACGAGTCAATTATTCTTCTCTGGCGACATTTTGGCCTCACCACCCAATGGTTATTAAACTTCAATAGTAGGCAGAATATCTTCCCAATTAGTGTCTGAAATGTCACCACTAGCTAATTATTCCCTTGTGTTTACACTGTCATATCCTTGAAATCCTCATTTGTAATTCCGGGTGTGGGTGACATACTAAATACTAATTCCTTATTGTAACAAGATTGTTTTCATTCTTGAGGAGAGACATGATTCAGTGTCAATGGAGGCAGAAATCAACAAGAGCAATGAAGAGGGTGAGAAAAGTAATGCTGGATCTCAAAATAATTGATTTTAAAATTTCCTCCAACTTGATTTTACTCATGTGTGTGCCTCCCACTGCTTTTTAGCACATGGCACCACTGGGTAGTTTGAGTTATAGAAATGTCAGTAAGTATAATTGCTCTTACTGATAACTTAGATCAATGTTCTCAGTTGGATTTGTATTGAGTCCTAAGCAATGTGGCTACATTTAGTTGTATAAGTTGTATACTGAGCAACTCTACAGGTGCCATTTTTACATGGACTGTAAGTATAATCCTACTTAGCAGTATTGCCCATATGTAGGGCTGGCAGATATACCAAATAAAAACAGAGGATGTCCATGCAATATTTGCAACATACTTATTCTCAAAAAATATTTGTTTATCTCAAATTCAGACTTAACTGGACTGCATTTTATCTCATTTCCTTACAATATGAGGTGCCTAGAAAATGTGTGGGCACACTTTTGGTTGTCTCAGGGGATGCAACTGGCAATTAATGGGCAAACCACTTATTCTAAATGTCTTGCAGTACACCTAGGAGATTCTCACATTATGAGGAATTTTGCTTTCCTGCATAATTCTTCAAAGGGTAATAGTTTCCCAGGTTAGAAAAAAAAAATCTGAATTTAATTACTTTATTCTAGAAGTGAGAAAACTGAATACCAGATAGCATAAGTGAGTCATTGATTGAAATTAGTACCAAAAAAAAAAGTCCCCAAATAAAGAGTGGTAGAGTGTAGTCACTAAGCCAGGCCCACCTGTGTTACCATTGCCAAAGGCCTATAGATGTGAAGAATGCATATGGGGGACAGGTAGGACATGTAGGTAGAGAGAGCTCTGTAGGAGTCCTAGAGCATGCTAGCCCTACATAAGCTTGAAACTACTGTGACATATTGATGAATTTTAAGCAGAAAAGCATCATAATTAGATGTTTTTGGGAAGATGACAGTGCAGCATTGTGGAGGAAAGAAAAAAACAGCAGCAGTTTTGGAGAATATCACCAGCAAAATTCCTCATATGCTCAATATATTGTATTTTCTGAGCACTCCATTCTGCTTTCCCATTAAATCTCTAAAATGGCATTTGTGTTCTTTCCCATCCTTCTTGCACCCCAGTCCTGGTTGGGAGGTAAGTATCCTCCTTTCTTCTCCTTTGTTTTTCTAACCTCCATTCATTCTTCTTTTATAAAAATACCCTACTTTGAAGATCATGTCTGCTGAGTATACTGCCCTCCCCACTTGCTGTTGCACTAGTCTGCTGATCTCTTGGTCACTGACCTTCACTTCTTGAACATTTTCCGCCTTGGAACATTGTTGTTGTCTTCAATAGTACTCGTCATAATTCACGCTTATTTTAATATTCACACAAATTATCCTTCCTTGTGGTACATTCTTTGTTTTTGAACATCTCTCGTCCATTAATCTTGTTCTGCATCTCACTCAGCCACTCACTCCTGTGCCCTTTATCATGTCTTGATCCGTGAAGAAATCTCTCCCATTATCGTGATTTCTAGCTGCCCAGTCTACCGTCACCATCTTCCTCCTTTCCAGCTCATTCCCTCTAGTTATACGACTCAAAACAATCTTTTGACTCTAAGACCTTTTCACTGGCCTTAACTCCTTTCATATTCTCATGTTCCTTCTTGGACAATTTGGATCCAATAGTTGATATTAATAACACTATTCCATATTTCTTTCAACTTGTTTGTTCCCCTCTCCTTTTATTTTATTAAATATTTGTCAAAAACCCAACTTGGGTCATTCTCTGCCAACTCTGCAACTGTAGCAGGCCTGCTGAATGTTCCTGGAGAAAAGCACTCAACCACACTCACTGGTCTTACTATCACCTCATGCCCACAATCCTCAAGTTGGTGTTTAAGATTTTCTAGAAAGCTATACATGTCAGTAGTCCATTTATTCTTCTATTCATCTATAGGTCTATTTAATACTTATCCCTGCTCCTCAACATGCCAACACACTTTCCCCCTCTTTCAGTCTTCTCAAGGCTGTCTTCTTGTTGGCAGAAAAAATAGAAACAGAAAAGAATTTCTATAAGCTTCCACCAACACATCTGTCATCTTGCCTTACTTCTGTCCTTTCCTCTATTCCATGGGTGGCCTGTTTGTGCTTTAATCTGAGACTGATTTGGGCACTAGATCCCATGCTCTGCTCTCTACTCAAGGTCAACACTTTGGTCTCTGGCTAAGTTCTCATTTCTCTCAACATCAATATTTGCTTCTTCAATGGATCTTCCTAGCAGCATACATATATGCTATGACTTATTTCAATAAACAAAATTCCTGACCTACATTTCCCTGCATACTATCTTATTCCTGTTCATCCTTAGAGCAAAGCCCTTTCAAGGATAATTTTCTACTTTCTATGCCAAATTCCTCTCTTCATATTCTCTTTTGAGCCTATTTCAATCACAGTTTTGTTCCTAACACTCCCAACAAACTGTTCTTGTTAGATTCACCAATGATATCCATTTTGTAAAATCCAGTGGCCAATTCCCAAGTTTTGACCTATCAGTAGTATTTGAAATGGCTGATTTTTCCTTCTTTAAAATAGGTTTTTCTCTTGGATTCTAAGCATAAGATGCTTCTGGTGTCCAACAGGTTGCTTTTTCTCAGCTTCTCTTGTTGATTCTCTCCCATCCTCTCAAATTTTAAAGTTAGTGTGCTGCATGGTCTAGCCCTCAGATCTCTTCTCTTTTATATTTATATTTCACCTTAAGTAATCTCATCCAATCTCATGGCTTTGAAAACCAATTATTTGTTGACAACTCCAATATTTTTATTTCCAGCCTCTCTTTTTCCCTCAACTCAAGACATTCATTTTTCCACTTGACATCTTTAATTAGAAATTTCATATGGAACTCAAACTTAGTATATTTTGATCTAAATTCCTGTTTGCCCCCGCTCTCCACTGTCCTCCTACAGTTTTCCCCATCACAGCAAATACTCAACCAATATTAGCTCGTATGGCCATAACGGTGGGTTAGTGATTGGCATTTATCCTGACTGGTCAGTGTCTGTGCCCTAAAGCTTGTAAATATTTGAAACATCCCTCCTATGTGGAACATTATATATTTGGTGAATAAGTTCATAAAAGTTTGGGATTTGTTCAGGGACTCTAAACTTACTGGTCTTTGATATATCAGTTGTTCCAGTAAATGCATTAGGCTATGTTAAATGCTTTACGAGGTTATTATATATACTGCTAGAGTAGATGTTTATCTAACTAATAATGGTTTAAAAATGTCTAATAATGTACTTTAAATTTACAAATGCAGTCAATAAAGAGCAAATTTGAAAGCCAATTGAACAATTTTAAAATTAAAGTCTGTATCAGCTTATTTTTTGTTGAATTCAGAAATCTTATTAATATGTTTTTTGCCAATTATATTATAAAGCCATTTGCAATTTAAAATGATTGATTTTTGAGAAAGTTGATAAATTCAAAGTTGCTGAAAATGTAAGTGTTTTTCTTATATCATATGACATATTCTTACTCTCAAAGACTACAGAGACTTAAAGTATTTTCAAAGATCAGAAGTAATGTAATATAACACTGAGATCAATTTTTTCTTACT